TTTGGACTTGTCCTGAGGGCACTGAGGAGCCATGGAAGGTCTTCACCCCAAGGAGAGTCTGGGGGTTGGAAAGCTGTCCCTGGCTTCTATATGGAGGATGGATTGGAGGGAATAGAACTGGAGCTGGGTGTTTGGGGAGCCAGCTGGGGTGGGAGAGGGGCGTTTGCATCAGGGGAGGAGGGAGGAGGAGGAGGAGTAGGTGCCAGGGACCGATGCCCAGGAGCTTTGGAGAACCTGCTCTGGGACTCCTAGGGCACAGATGGTGAGGGAGGGAGAAATTCAAGACAAGGCCCTCTGGCTGGAAGGTTGAGGGGAAGGGGTTGGGGGCTTCCCTGGGGAGGAGACCCAGAGGTGAAGCAGGTCAGGAAGTTGCTGAGTCCAGTGTTGGCTACCCAGCATCAGGATTTAGGAGGCTCCACAACCCCTGGGTCTGGGGCCAGAAACCTATGTTTGAGGATGATCAAAGATAGTAAGTAAAGCTGTGGGAGTTAGTGACCTATCCTGGGGAGGGTATGAAGGATGAATGGAAACAAACACCAGATATAACCTTGAGGAGACACATAAGGTTTGAGCAAAGAAATTGACACTTTCAACAAAGATTGAAAAGCAGCAGCCAGAGAGAGAGAGGAGGTAAACCAGGAAAACCAGGCATCTCTGGCGCTGTGAGGATAGGCCCTTTTAAAAGACGGCGGGGGTACATCACTAACCGCAAGCATTGCCACCTCCATTTAAGCAACAACTTTCAACACCATATAGAATGGTTGGGCTCCAAGGACACTAGTTCATTTATTTATTCAATATTTCTTGAGTATCTAATATGTGCCAAACACTGCTCAAGGTACTAAAAATTCAACAACGAATGAGGCAGGCATGAAGCTTACATTCTAGCTGGGGGACAGAAACAAATGATACTTTCAATGTTTATTTGGTATATTTCGATGTAACTTGGTGATAAGTTCTATGGAGAAAATTAAAGCAAGCTAAGGGGATGGAGAGGTGGGATCAGCACTATTTTAGATAAGGGAAAGGCTTCTTTGATCAGGTGACATTTGAACAGAAATCTGAAGGAGTGAAGAGGTGAACCATGAAGGAAGGAGGGTTCAAGAAAAAGGAGCCAGCACGTGAAAAGGCCTGATGTCAGGATCACTCACAGAACCAGAAAGAGGCTAGTGTGGCTGGAGAGGAGTGAGCAAAGAGGAGAGTATTGAAAAGACAAGATCCAGGAGGTAACAGAGGAGGGATGGTGGCAGGTAATTAAGAGCTTTTAAGGCCACTATAAGGACTTTTGCTTTTACCCAGGTAATATGGGAGACAGGAGAGAGTATTGAGTGAACAGGTATGTCATTTGGTTTTTGTTTTTGTTTTGGCTTCACTGCACAATGTGTGAAGTTCACACTGACCAGGGATTGAACCCATACCCCCTGCAGTTGAAGCTTGGAGCCTTAACCACTGGACCACCAGGGTTAAGTTTGGTTTTGGGTTTTATTAGGATCTCTCTTGACAGTCCTATGAAGAATAGAGTGTGGGGAGGGGGTGGGAGCAGAAAAACAGTGAGGAAGCTACTATGAGAGTTCAGGCAGAAGTTCAAGGTGGCAGGGGCAGAATATAGGCTGTGGAAGGGGAGGAGAGAGCCAGTTCTGGTTATATTTGGAAGTTCAGAGCTGGAAGGTTTAAAGGTACATTGTCAGAGGAAAGAGATGGGTCAAGGATGACTCCAAGACATCCAGATGGAGTTATGCTGGCAGTTGGACATAAGAGCCTAGAGAGGCCCAGACTGGGGAAATAACTAGGGTATCCCCCTTTGAATACCAAGAGACTGATGCTTTCAGGAAGATGAGAAGGAGGATAGAAAAGAGAAGCAGACTGAGGGCTGAGCCCTGGGACTCATGACTCTTAAAAGGAAGCTGATATGTGATCCTGCAACCCCACTCCTGGGCATATATTCAGAGAAAACTATAATTCAAGAAGATATATACATTCCAATGTTCCTTGCAGCACTATTTGCAAGAGCTAAGACAGGGAAGCAAACTAAGTGTCCATCAACAGAGGAATGAATAATGATGTGGTACATATACAATGGAATACTACTCAGCTATAAAAAAGAATAAAATAATGCCATTTGCAGCAACATAGGCACACCTAGAGATTGTCATACTAAGTGAAGTAAGTCAGAAAGACAAATACCGTAAGATATCACTTATATGTAGAATCTAAAACATGACACAAATGAACTTATCTATGAAACAGAAATAGACTCCCAGACATAGAGAATAGACTTGTGGTTGCCAAGGAGGAGAGGGGTGGGAAAGAGATGGATGGGGAGTTTGGGATTAGCCAATGCAAACTGTTACATGGAGAATGGATAAACAATAAGGTCCTCTGTATAGCACAGGGACCTGCATTCATATCCTGTCATAAACCGTAATGGAAAAGAATATGAGGGACTTCCTTGGTGGTTCAGTGGTTAGGACTTCGCATTTTTCACTGCCAAAGCCACAGGTTCAATTCCTGGTCTGGGCACTTTTATCCCACGAGCCTCATGGTGCAGCCAAAAAATGAAAAAGATTGTATATATATGTTTAGCTGAATCACCTTACTATACAGTAGAAATTAACACATTGTAAGTCAACTATGCTTCTATAAAATTTTAAGAAAGGAACTGAGAAGGAGCAGCCAGAAGAGCCAGAGGAAATCCAGGCTGGGGTGGTGTTCCGGAAGCCAAGTGAAGAAAGTGTTTTGGGCACAGGAGTGATGGATGATATCAGATGCAGCTGACAGGGCACGGCAGATGAAGATTAAGAATTGACTGTTGGGTCCAGCGCCACAAAGCTCCTTGGTGGCCCTCTGACGGTGGTCGTTGGCCGTCCCTGTCACTGGAGAGAGACAGGAGTGAGCCTGCTGGGAGAGAGTTGAAGAGCAAATTAGGAGGAGATATTGGAGGCAGTGAGTGTGGACAATTCTTTCAAAAGTCTTGCTGAAAAGGGAAGGAAATGAATAGGCAGGAGAGAGAAAGTTTATAGGTTAATATTAAATTTTGTTTATTTATTTTTGGCTGAAACTTGTGGAATGCAGGATCCTAGTTCCCTGACCAGGGTTTAAACCTGTGTCCCCTGCAATGGAAGCTGGGATTTTGCAGTGGATTCTCAACCACTGGACCACGAGAAAAGTCCCAGGGTTTTTAGTTTTTAAGATATACCATGGTGTGTAGGCCAAGGGGAAAGATCCAGTAGAGATAAGGATATTGGTGATACGGGGAGAAGAAGGGTAGCTGCAGCGATGGCCTTGAGGAGGTTAGAGAGGGTGGGATCTGCGTTCTGCTACGCGAGCGAACTCAGCACAGCGGGCCAGACATTGTGAAGCTAGGTCCTCTGAACACACTCTGTCGTTTGTGTGTGTTTTTTTCATAGAAATACAGAGGGGGTTCTCATAAATTACTTCCCTTTTATTTCTACTTTATATGATAGTTAGGACATTATATTGATTTTAGGGAGAATTTATGTGTATAAATAGGTTGTCTTATCTAGGAATTTCATTCCAGGATGTGAAATGAGGAGGACAATACAAAATGCTCTTCATAATAAAGGAGGTACTGGTGTGATAGGATTAAACACCATTGTTGTAGTACCTATTAGAAGGCCCATGAGGTTGAATAACTGAAGAAAAAAAATACACCATTACCTGAGCGCTGGTGAGTTTCCTCTTTCTCCTCCATTTCCCCATCAACCTAATAAGTTGCAGTTTGATCAGCAAACATTTCTAAATTCCCCCTTTTAGCTCTGGAATTAAAATATTCCAGATTAGGGGGTAGTGGAATCCAGGAAGGCTTCCTGGAGGAACAGTTAAAGAGCTTATTTCATCATCAAAAAAGTCTGCAAACAAAAAAATGCCAGAGGGTGTGGAGAAGGGGAACCCTTCTGCACTGTTGATGGGATGTAAAGTGGTACAGTCTCTATGGAAAACAGTATGGAGGTTCCTTAAAAAACTAACTACAGAACAACCACATGATCTAGCAATCCCACTCTTAGGCATATAGCTGGAGAAAACAATAATTTGAAAAAGTACACACAGCATTGTTTACAATAGTCAAAACATGGACGCAACCTAAATGTCCATCAACAGAGGAGTGGATAAAGAAAATGTGGTACACTCAAAAAAAGATGTGGTACATAGCAATATATACAATGGAATATTATGCAGCCATAAAGAAGAGTGAAAATGCCATTTGCAATGACACAAATGGACCGTCCCTGAAATTGTTATACTGAATAAAGTAAGTCAGACAAAGAAAGACAAATATTATATGATATTGCTGTATGTGGAATATAAAAAAAGTTACAAATGAACAGAAAAAGAGTCACAAATGTAGAAAACTTATGGTTACCAGTAAGGAAAGGGGGAGAGTGACAAATTGGGATATCAGGATTGACAAGTATATACTACTGTATATAAAATAGATAACTAATAATAACCTACTATATAGCACAGTGAACTCCACCTGATACTCCGTAATGACCTACTTGGGAAAATAATCTAAAAAAGAGTGCAAATATGTATAGTTGATTGACTCACTTTGCTTTACACCTGAAACTAACACAACATTGTAAATTAACTATACTCCAAGAAAAATTAAAAAAAAAAAAGAGCTCATCACTACCTATGGTGTATTGGGTGTTGGCCACCATGCTGGGAGATATGTGAAGTTATGTTAGCCTTGTAACCATTCTGAATCAGAGGGGTGAAGTTACTTAGCTAGAGCCACACAGTCAGGAAGCACTTGAACCCCAGTCTGGGTGACTGTAAAGCCTGGGAGGTCCCAACAGATGAGGGGAAGGAAGGAGAGGGAGGAGCCATCTGTGACAGTTGTCTCAGAATGGGCATAAACAGGATGTGGTGTTGGATGAAACTTTTCCCCTACCCCACACTCCGCCCCTGTTGCTGTGGTCCCCACCCCTAGAAGACAGCGGAACCAAGGAAAGAAGAGGCCCCTGGACAGTAAAGTCATGGTGGGGGCCAGGGTCGTATGGGAAGGGCTAGGGGCTGGAGTGGGACTGGGGCTGGGAGGACGCCGAGGGTGAAGGTCAGGCTGTGGATGGGAGGTCAAGGCTGGGGAAAGAGAGATGGCGGTTCCGGGTTTAGCCCCAGGCGAGCAGATCCCCGAGCCTCCCTGGGCGTTGCCCAAGGGCACCTGCCGAAAGGGCTCCCCAGTCCAGCCTCTGCTCATCGAGGGGCAGCATCCGCTCAGAGGAAAGGGTACCTTTCCCCAGTGTTTACACAGGCAATCTATGGGCTATGGCCCCCTCCTCGTTATTAGTGGATAGAGAAACTGAGGTTTGGGGAAAGGGGCAGGGCTGAGGCCAGGCGACTCAGCTCTTGACTGAGCTCCTCTGGCAGTCCGACTCCCTGGTGGTGTGTGAGGTGGACCCCGAGCTACAGGAAAAGCTGAGGAAATTCCGCTTCCGAAAAGAGACAGACAATGCAGCCATAATAAGTGAGTGTCTTCTTCCCTCCTGACGGATGAGGGGGTGGGGGGAGCATAGGGACAGATGGGAGGGGCGTCTAACCCACCCATGCCCTCCCTCCTCAGTGAAGGTGGACAAAGACCGGCAGATGGTGGTGCTGGAGGAAGAATTTCAGGTGAGGGGCTGGGGGGTGGGACTGGGAGACCCAGAGGGCTGTGACTGAGGCTAAGAGCCTGGGGTTGGGAGCCAGAAAAACCAGGAAGTCAAGTTCCAGCTTAGCTGTGACCCTAGGCGAGAGACTCTGCCTGTATAGGCCTCTCATCTGTGAAATGGTGATAACAGTCCTTACCTCTGAGGGTTGTCTGTGAATGCAGTGATTTAATCCTTGTAGTTTGCTTAGAAAAAAGCAAGTGTCTTAACACCTCTGGGCCTCAGTTTGTTCACCTGTAAATGGGGGTAAAGCAGGACCTACCCCTTTGGGTTTGGGGAGAGATCAATGGGCTAATAATCCATATGTGTTTCTTGGATGAGTGCCTTGACACAGCACATGTTCATTTAATGGCAGTCTTTTTTTTTTTCTCTCCTCCCCCCACCCCTCACAGAATATTTCTCCAGAGGAACTAAAAATGGAGTTGCCTGAGAGACAGCCCAGGTATCCTGGGGCAAGGAAGGGGAAGGTCAGGCCATGGAGGGATGCAGACTGAGGGACTACTTGGGGTCCAGTCTTATTCATGGACTTTGAAACTATGTCTTTGAGTTCCTATCACAGGACTTTTGGTTTGTATACCAGAATTTTATTGCAGAATTTTATGCTAATAGTCATATGTGATGTTAGTACATACTTCGTAAGATTTTGGTCTCAACATTGCACTTGTTTCATTAAAAAAAAAAGTTAAAATTTCCTTATTTTTCAATGCCTGGGAAGACTGAGTAGGAAAGGATTTATTTGACCTTTAATGATTGGGGAGAATCCTGTGTTAAGCTAGAGGAGCCTGGTGCTTTTTGTGTATGGAGAAGTTTTTTGACACTTCTATGAAAACTGGTCTCTCTAGATTTTTTCATCTTGACTGGGGTGAGTTTTGGGTGTCCTAGGACTTTGAAACTCAATCCCAGGCTCTAGATCTCAGTCAGCACCCTGGGCATCTGACAAGTGCAATCACACAGGGCCCCATACCCAGAAGGGAGCCTTGAAGGCAGGGCTTGATGCCTGCTATCTTGAAATTCTTTCTAGTTTTATCTCTGAATCTGTTTCGTGTGAAGTCTGACAGGACAGTGGAGCCTGTGCTGGAGGCTTGGAGCCTCCTTCAACTCACACCTCCAGCCCTAGATGGGTTCTCAGCTCCCCACTCCCACATTGCCCAATGATGGCTGGTGCCCTCTGCCCTGGGCAGGGGGCCTAATTGCAGCCTCAGGGAGTGTCAGGGCCAGGGGGCAGCACTCACTCCTGAAAGATAAATTCCAGAGTGTGCCCGTGAGCAATTTCACTCCCCCCATGAGTGTCTCCAAGCCCAAGACAGCACATGACTTGAAACAGGAAATTTTAAAAGACCAAGATCAGTCTGGAAAGAGACTGCAGAAGAAAGGGAAAAACATCTTTCTCCTGTGTTTATTACAAGGGGCCCTGCATTTTCATTTTGCACTGGGTTTGGGAAATTATATAGCTGGCCCTGGTCTCAGCCCCTGATTCTAGACTGCTAGACAGTAAAACATAGTGGTTGAGCACTTACACTCTACCAGTGAACTTCCTGGGTTCAAATCTACCCATAGAACCCTGGGCAAATGGCTTCATTCTCTGGGCTTCGATTTTCCTGTATGTAGTATGGGGATAATAATAGTACCTACATCATAGGGTTGTTGTGAATAATCAAATAAGCACTTACTATTTTTTGGCCATGTCACTCAGCATGTGGGATCTTAGCTCCCTAACTAGGGATAGAACCCCTGCCTCTGCAGTCTTAACTATTGCACTTCCAGGGAAGTTCCAAAACCGTTTTTTCTTAAACATTTTTTTCTTTATTGAGTTATATTTGATGTATGATATATTAATTTCAGGTGTAAAACATAATGATTTGATTTTTTTTTGTATATACTGTATTACCAAATGTTCACCATGATAATCTAGTTAACATCTGCCACCATACATGGTTTCTAAAAAAATTTTTTTCTTACGACGAGGACTTTTAATATCTACTCCTTTAGCAACTTTCAAATATACAATACAGCATTATTAACTACACTTACCATGCTGTATATCACATCCCTAGGACTTTTTAAAAATAAATAACTGGAAATAAAATAATTGGAAGTTTGTACCTTTTGACTCCTTTCACCCATTTCACCCACTCCCATCTTTGGCAACCACTCATCTGTTCTCTCTCTATATGAGCTTGATGGTTTGTTTCTTTATTTTTATTTTTTCAATTCCATATGTAAGTGAGATCATAAGGCATTTGTGTTTCTCTGTCTGATTTATTTCACCTAGCATAACGCCCTCCGAGAGCCATCCATGTTGCAATGGCAAGATTTCATTCTTTTTTAATGGCTGAATAGTACTTCATTGTGTGCATATGTGTGTGTGTGTGTGTGTGTGTGTGTGTGTGTGTGGACCACATCTTCTTTATCCATTCATTCGTCAATGGACACTTAGGTTTTTTCCACATCTTGGCTATTATAAATAATGCTGCAATAAATATGGGGGTGCATATATCTTTTTGAATTATTGTTTTCATTTTCTTTGATAAATACCCAGTAGTGGAATTGCTGGAGCAGATGGTAATTCTATTTAGCATTTACTATTATTATTTTTTTAATTAAAAACTTATTTATGGCTGCACTGGTTCCTCGTTGCTATGCACAGCCTTTCACTAGCTGTGGTGAGTGAGGGCTGCTCTCTAGCTGCAGTGCACGGGCTTCTCGTTATGGTAGTTTCGCTTGTCGCAGAGCACAGGCTCTGCGCATGTGCACCTCAGTAGGTTGCAGCATGGGCTCAAGAGCCATTGCGTGAAGGCCTGGCTGCTCTATGGCATGCGGCCCTGGTCTTTCCAGATCAGTGATCGAATCCATGACCCCTGCATTGGCAGGCTGATTTCCAACCACTGGACCACCAAGGAATTCCCCTATTATTATTATTATTTTCCCCCATTATTATTTTTTAAATCTTTTATTGTGTTTGAAGCCAGTACCCTTGGTCTCGGTTGTTAACCCTAGGTTCTCAAACTCAGGCAAGATTTCTAGGCTGTGGTCTCAGGTGATGAGCATTAGGCCTGAGCTCCAGGCCAAGTCCTGAGTTTGAATTCCCTTTCACTATTGTAGGTTCGTGGTTTACAGCTACAAGTACGTGCACGCCGATGGCCGAGTGTCCTACCCCTTGTGTTTCATCTTCTCCAGCCCCGTGGGTGAGACACAGCTCTACTCCTCCTGAGAAGGGGCTCTTAGATTATGTGTGGGGATGTGTAAGCGTGTGTGTTTTGAGTGTGTGTATGTGCACGTGACTGGTGATTATGTGTGTGTGACTGTGTGCGTGTGTATAGATGCCTGTGTTAGAGTGTGGTGTGTGTGATGAGTGAATGCTGAGAGGGCAATGGGGTGGAGGTGAGGGCACCAAACCCCCATCTTCATTAGTTCTGAGGTGTGTAAGCACATTCACCTCTTCCTTTTACTGGCAACCCCTGTCTGGCCCCTAAACCATCTCCAGGGACCTTAGAATAACTTCCAGCCCCCAAACAAATCTGAAGACTCTGACTGTAGTCTCCAGGGACCTCCTTAGAACAATGCCTGGGAGTCTTAGAAAACTCTGGGGCCTTTAGGACACTGTTATTGTTCAGTCGCCAAGTCGTGTCTGACTCTGCGAGCCCATGGACTGTAGCCCACCAGGCTCCTCTGTCCATGGGATTTCCCAGGCAAGAATACTGGAGTGGGAAATACCATTTCCTTTTCCAGGGTAGGACATTACCAGGGCCTTAGAGAACACCTTGGCATCCCCCAGTTATGCTTTCCTCTTCTATTTTTCACACAGGCTGCAAGCCTGAACAACAGATGATGTACGCAGGGAGCAAAAACAGGCTGGTGCAGACAGCAGAGCTCACAAAGGTCTGAGTCTGGGGCTGATGCTACTGAGTGTGAGGGAGGAGAGTCTGGGATCTGAGGGCTGATGGAGGGTGGGGGCTCCACCCCTGGAGGTCCCCCACTGGGGGGTCAGGACTCTTGGTCTGAGGGAGGAGGGAGCTGGGTTTCTGGGTCTGAAGGAGGGAGGGGCTGGAGCCCTCACTGTTTCAGTTCTTGAATGGATTACAAAACTGAACCCTCTCTCTGCGCAGGTGTTTGAAATCCGCACCACTGATGACCTCACCGAGGCCTGGCTCAAAGAGAAGTTGTCTTTCTTTCGTTGACCTCTGGGCCGGGCACCTGAACTCAAACCCCCTAGGGCCTGAACATCCCAGACCTTAAAGAAATTAAAATGCCACTTCTCAGAGACCCTCAGCTCTGGCTGGCTCAGTTTTCTGTTCCTCATTGTGGGCACCAGGTGGCACTCCTGCAGTACCAGTCTTGGACCAGTAGAGGGCAGGCAGAGCCAGTGGACGCCTGCTGGATTCTGGGAGGACAAGGAGGATACCATACCTGTTCCTCTGAAAGAAAGGAAGGGGCCTGTAGGGTTTCCTAAGGAGAAATGAGGGAGGCCAGGGTCTCCTAGAGGAATTGGGGGAATATCTGAAGCTGTGGAGGGGCTTGTTCCAAGAGGAACAAGGACACCTGAGTCCCTGAGAGTAAAGGAGGCGAGGCCTTTGCAGGCAGTATTTGCACCTATGCTGATTTTCTCAGTGATCCCCCAGGCAGGAAGATCTTGAAGGCAGAAAAATTGTTGAAGTTGTTACAAATGTCAAATATAATAGCTTCAGGGGCTGGGGAGTTGCTGGGGGGTGAGTGATTTGTGGGGTTGGGTGGGCCTGGGAAAGATTAAGAGGAATCAGAACTCTCAGAGGACCCCTGAGGAGTATGAAAAGTTGAGGAGGCAGGAAAGGGACACTGCCCTCCCCCTGTGGTGATTCTTCTTTCTTTCATCATCTTTGGTTGCTTGATTCTCTCAGGCTTTCTGTTTCTGAGGGACATTTATTGAGCACCCACAGTGTACTAGGCTCTGAGGATTCTGAGATGGGTAGGTCTTCAAAGAGTTGAATCACTGTCTCGCTCTGCTTTTCCTCCAGGTCTCTGAGTGTTCCTCTCTCTACCCCCAGATTCAGGGATCTGGGAACTCCCTCTCCCCACCCCTTTCCAGGTTCCCAGTTGAGAGGTGGCTGTTGCCATGGTAACAATGACAGAGTGACCTTGGGCCCGGGCTGCCCCTCCCCCAGTCCTGTTGTTCCTGGGGGAGGGTCCACAAGCCCAGCTCCAACCCTTCCTCCAGCTTCCCAGCCTGAACACACCATGCCTTCAATTGCCCCACACTGTCCCATCCCTTGCCCCCTTGTCCCCAGTCAGGACACGCCCCTTGCCTGAGGGATTCGGGATAAAATTACTCTACACTGGGCCATGGAGAGATCCTGATAGTTCTCAATTTTTTGGGGGGGCTTGGGTTGAGGTGCTCAACCCTTCTCTTTCACCTATACTGGTACCCCTCCACCCCATTTCTCTGCTAGGGTTGTCTCTACTCCTCCCTCTGTTCACAGCCTCAGTCCCTGAAGGCTAGAGATGAGGGAATGGGAGGCGTCATTCAATGAAGAGGTCAAGCAACTCCTGGTCTGCCAAGGTCAGAGAGGCAAAAGGACTTGTCCAAGGTCATGAACTTACACAATGAAATGGGTAATAATAGCTACTACTCCCAGGGCTTCCTATGTGCTTAGTACTTCTATAAGCATTTTACAACTAATTTAATTCTTACAATTATTTTTGAAGACGGTATCATTATCCCCAATTTACAAATGAAGAAACTGAGGCACAGAAACCAAAAAGAGTTTCCCAGAGTCACACACCTAGTGGTCTGTATGGTTAGAACTTTAACCCAAGGCTAGCCTGTGGTCAGTGGCCACTCTCCTAGATAGGAGATTCAGGGAACCCCCATGCCTTCTTTTTCTCGCTACTACTCGCTCGCACCATAGCTGAACATCTGTCTGCCTCCAGGTTCATTCACAAATGCTCTAATCAGAGACAGGCATGTGCAAGGATTTGTCCCATCACGAGCAGGGAGTTTGGAAAGCAGGCATCAGTCAGAGAGGGTGGCTCTGAAGGGCAGTCCAGTGCACTGTAGGTTTGACTAGAGGGCTTGTGGAGGGACCAGTCAGAAAGGTCAGAACAGAATCCTGCTATACAATGCAAAGTGGGCACAGCGGGGCTGTGGCTGTTCATTTGGGGCCACACCTTTGAGGGGCGATACAAACTGGGAACCTCTTCCTCTCTTTCCACCAACCTCCCTTCTCAACTCAGTTCAGTTCAGTTCAGTTGCTCAGTCCTGTTTGACTCTGCGATCCCACAGACTGCACCACGCCAGGCTTCCCTGTCCATCACCATCTCCCAGAGCTTGCTCAAGCTCATGTCCATCGAGTTGGTGATAGCATCCAACCATCTCATCCTCTGTTGTCCCCTTCTCCTCCCGCCTTCAATCTTTCCCAGCATCAGGGTCTTTTCCAATGAGTCAGTTCTTCACATCAGGTGACCAAAGTATTGGAGTTTCAGCTTCAGCATCAGTCCTTCCAGTGAATATTCAGGACTGATTTCCTTTAGTATGAACTGGTTTGATTTCCTTGCAGTCCAAGGGACTCTCAAGAGTCTTCTCCAACACCACAGTTCAAACGCATCAATTCTTCGGCACTCAGCTTTCTTTATAATCCAACTCTCACATCTGAACATGACTACTGGAAAAACCATAGCTTTGATTAGATGGAACTTTTTTGTCAAAGTAATGTCTCTGCTTTTTAATATGCTGTCTAGGTTGGTCATAGCTTTTCTTCCAAGGAGCAATCGTCTTTTAATTTCATGGCTGCAGTCACCATCTGCAGTGATTTTGGAGCGCAAAAAAATAAAACTCCCTTCTAGGTTCCCACAGATCTGGGCTCCCTAGGTTTTCCCTGGGCTATTTCTCCCTGATAACCTTGAAAGTGAGCAGGGTTTATGTTGAATAGGTGAAGACTGGACTTTAGGTCAGGGTTGAGAATGGGGTACCCAAATTAGGCCTGAAGGGCCCTTTCCTAGGCTGAAATCTTGACTCCTTTGGAGTGGAGTCTAAGGTGTAGGTGTGGGGCTAGGATAGAGGGGTGGGACTTGGGTGGTGGCAGGACTCAGACTGAAGAAACATGAATATTACAAATTTTAAGATGGTGTTTAAGATAAAGGGGTGGGGCTCAGGCTGTGAGGGTGGGACCTAGGCTTGAGGGGTATTTCTTATTTAGGCCAGATAGGTCAGGGATTTTGCTGTGGGGTGGGGCTTTAGAGACGGGGGTGGAGCCTATGCTTCTGGGTGGGGCCTAAATTGTGGAAGCATTAGATTGGATCTCTATTAAGAGGTCTGGGTCAGGAATTAAGGCCAGAGGGAAATAATCACACTATATGCTTTCATCTGTTGCCTTCTTTTTCAGGACAACTCACATTCCCTGACCTCATGGGGCACTCCCCTGCCTCTGAGGTATATCCTTCCCCTTCTAGTGGCCCCAGGCTGGAAGATCATGTTTATTCCTGAGTGTAGGCTCTACAGTGAGACTGCAGCAGCTCTAGCTCCCAGGCCTTCTCTTAAGAGGAGTTCAAGAACACATTTTTACCAAGCACCTATTGGGCTTCCCTGGTGGTTCCATGGTAAAGAATCCACCTGCTAATGCAGGAGACACAGGTTCAATCCCTGGGTCAGGATGATCCTTGGAGAAGGAAATGGCAACCCACTCCAGTATTCCTGCCTGAGGAATCCCATGGACACAGGAGCCTGGTGGGCTAAACAACAACTGGTGCCAAGACTATTGGAGAAATCTGGTGGACTGGGGAAAATTGGTGCGCAAGCCACATGTCAGGTGGCTTACATTTCAATTAAGAGACAGTAAGCAACAAATGAATAAATAGGTAAACAAACAAGCAAGCAAGAATGTTACCAAGAGTGATAAAGGCTATGAAGGAAATAAAATGAGGTGATGGGATGATAGAAATCCCAAACAGGGTGGGACCTGTTTGGGTTTTTTTGTCGTTGTTGTTGCTTCTTTAGTATCTAGAAGAGTCCTCCAGTTTCTTCCTGCCAACATTTATTGTGAAAAATTTCAAACATATAGCAAAGCTGAAATAGTTTTACAGTGAACACCCATATACCTACCACCTAGATTCTAGATGAACATTTTGACTGTACTTGTTTTATTACATAGCCACCCATCTATCCATCCATTAATTCATTTAAAAAAATTATTTATTTATTTGGCCGCATGTGGTCTTAGTAACAGGATGTGGGATCTAGTTCCCTGACCAGGGATTGGACCCAGGCTCCCTGCACTGGGAGCACAGAGTCTTAGCCACTAGGGAAGTCCCCCAATCATTAATCCCTTTTTACTTTTAAAGTATTTCAAAGTAATCTGAAGACATCAGGACAACTGGTAGCAGTGAGGATATAAATTGGTCATGGTAAAGGAAGTGCTCTCTTAAGAGATTACATTTGAATTAAGAATTGAATGAAGCTCTCTTTCCCTTTGGCACGCCATTTGAAGATCCTGGTGTCGCCATGGGCCGCCACCCCACCCGGTGCTCCCGGTATTGTAAGAACAAGCCGTACCCAAAGTCCCGCTTCTGCCAAGCTGTCCCTGATGCTAAGATCCGCATCTTCAACTTGGGGCGTAAGAAGGCTAAAGTGGATGAGTTCCCACTCTGTGGCCACATGGTGTCAGATGAGTATGAGCAGCTCTCCTCTGAAGCCCTGGAGGCTACCCGTATTTGTGACAAGTACATGGTGAAAAGCTGTGGCAAAGATGGTTTTCACATCTGAGTGTGGCTCCACCCCTTCCATGTCATCCGCATCAACAGGATGTTGTCTTGCGCTGGAGCTGATAGACTCCAGACAGGTATGTGTGGTGCCTTTGGAAAGCCCCAGGGCACAGTGGTCAGGGTCCACATTGGCCAGGTCATAATGTCTGTCCGCACCAAGCTGCAGAACAAGGAGAATGTGATTGAAGCCCTCTGCCGGGCCAAGTTCAAGTTTCCGGCCGCCAGAAGATCCACATCTTCAAGAAGTGGGGATTTACCAAGTTCAAGGCAGATGAATTTGAAAACATGGTGGCAGAAAAGCGACACATCCCAGATGGCTGTGGGGTCAAATACATCCTAGTCGTGGTCCCCTGGACAAATGGTGGGCCCTGCACTCATGAGCATCAGCACTGTCCCCTCCGTAATCATGCTCACCAATAAATGCTATTTCCTGTCAAAAAAAGAGAAT